TCTGTGCACATGCTCACCCATTTACAGTGTAGAATACAGTAAGGAGCTTCCATGTCATGTTCCCACTTTTAATGAATGACTTTCTCTGCAGAAGAGGCCAGCATAGTTGGAGAGAATGAAACTTACCCTCGAGCCTTGCTTCATTGGAATAGAGCAGCCTCCCAAGGTAAGTCACAGTTCACGGTTACCAGCTTCACTCACACTTGTTAACATTTTATTAAATAATGAATGTAATACTATTTAATAGCTTGTTCTGCCCTTTAGAAACTATATTGGGGGACTGGACTCAATCCTCTAGGGTCCCTTCCAGCCCAAATGTCCATGAAATCTATGAAATATTAATATTTTTCCAAAGACAGGTTATATTCTGGCTTACTCCCTCATTAATGTATTCATGTGGCTCTGCAGGGTAATTCTTTATCCAGTTTTCAGTATGAAATTTGGTTGAATATTGCTTGACAGGATTAGAGAAGCTTAAGCCACTTGCAAGTCTGCAGTCCTACATTTGTCACCTAGTTCTAAGCCACCTCCACTAGCCAGCCTTTGAGTCCTGGTGATTTCCCATTCCTAATCATTGTTTTGACAGATTTTTAAACTGCTATTTTTATATAATTTGAACATGATTAGGCAGGTTTTTTAGTGTCTCATATTTAAAGGACTGTCACATTTGGGCCGGATCTCTTAGGACTGCTGTTTTCCTGAATCTCAGAAATTAGATTTCCATCTGCCCCCAAGGAATTTTGCTGGCCATTAGCATAATTTATCATAGAATCATAGAGAAGTAGGGCTGGAAGAGGTCATCTAGTTCAACCCCTTGCCTGAGACAGGATCATTCCTATCCAGACCATCATCTAAACTCTATGTAAAACTGTCTTCAACCCTGACACAACATAGACCCTAACCCTAACCTGTCACAGGTAAAGCAGGGGAACCACAGCAGCCAATGTCCTGCTTCTATGAAATGTCAATATATGCTCAGAAGATCCCAGGTAGAGGGTAATGCCTCTGCTACAGAGGAAGCCAAAAACCCTAACAGTCTGTACCAGTCTGATCATGGGGTAAAATTCCTTTCTGACTGCCAAATACGGCGATTCGATCTGACCCCAAGTAGAGGGGCAAGACCATCTAGCCAAGAACCTCTGGCTTCAGGAGCATTAGTATACCTGCAGCTCCTGGAGGAGAAATGTCAGGAACAACATAAGCCTTTCTACATGTCTGCCTTTGACCTCACAAAACAGCTGAGAAGTGTTGTGCAGGATTCTTCTGAAGTATGGTTGCCCACTGCAATTTGTCACCATTCTCTGCCTGCTCCATGTTGGTATGTGAGCGGTGGTTCTCAGTAATGGATCTATTACAGATCCCTTTGAGGTTAAAACAGGAGTAAAGCAAGGCTGTATCATCACTCCAACACTCTTCTCAATATTCCTTGCTGCGATGTTGCATCCGATCACCAACAAGCTTCCAGCTGGAGTGGAGCTAAACTACTGAATGGTTGGTAAGCTATTTAACCTCAGCTGACTCTGAACCAAAACCAAGACCACCCCAACCACAGTCATTGAGCTCCAGTATACTGATGATGCTGTAGTGTGAGCTTACTCAGAAGCAGACCTTCAGGCAATCATCAACGTCTTTACCAAGCCATACAAGTAAATGGAACTGATGTCTTCCAAATGTTAAGTTAAGGTCCTCCAGCAACAAAACTCCTAATGAACAGTCCCCAGCTCCAGTAATCCAGATCCACAGTGAGACTCTGGAGAACGTTGAGTATTTCCAGTACTTTGGAAGATATCTCTCATTGACATCGAAGAAATCCAGCATTGCCTGAAATGTGCATGTGCAGGCTTTGTACACTTGAAGAAACAGGTGTTGAAAGATCTCAACGCCAAATACAAAACCAAGCTGATGATTTATCAAGCAGTCGTGATCCCCACCTTGCTGCATGGAGCTGAGTCATGGACAACTGTGTCAGAGCACAAGTTGTGCCTGCCACTTTTAAGAGGTCTGAACAGGCAACAAGCAGCCTGCAGGTGGGAGCAGACCCAATCAGGCGGCCTCCTGCCTAACATGTGACTGCCTAATTGGGTCTGCTCCCACCTGCCTGCTGCCTGCTTAGACCCCTTAAAGTGGCAGGCACAACCTGTGCTCTGCTACAGCAATGTACAGGAGACCTCTAAAGTTGTTGGAGAGGTACCATCAATGCTGCCTATGGAAGATCCTCCAAATCCGGTGGGAAAAGGGATGTAGAAGCGTTGGTGTCCTCCTGCAAGCAAACACCATGAGTATTGAGGTACTGATCATCTGGTATCAACTTCATTGGGCTGACTATGTCATCTGGATGGCTGCCTCCAGACTCCTGAAGCAAGTTTTTTTTATTGTCCAAGCTCAACCAATGTGTATGCTGAAGAGAAGGGCAGAAAAGGTGCTACAGGGACAACATCCTTAAGGCCAAATTTTAAAAATGTAATATCGATGTCAATTTTTGGGAGACTATCACCCAGGGCTGTCCCAGCTGCCTGCGGAGGGTTCAGGATTGAGAGTATGGTTGGGAGTAGAAAGGTAAGAAAGATTTATTGACTTAACAAAAACACAACTACGCATAGTAACAAAACAGACAATGACAGACGAAAGCAATTCGCATCGGCAACTTATCGGCAGTCCCCTCTGATGCCTGATACACAGCAAGCTTCTCTTTCCACAAAGTTCAGCGAAGTCAGGCGTCCCTGAACGACACTGTCCAAAGAGGTACCGGAAAGGACCCTGGAAGGCAGTTCTTGGGCTCCTTGAGGTCCACGGGCCCACTGATCCAGGCAACAGCTAACTAATCCTTTTCACAGAGCTGTATCTTCCTTCTGAATGGTTTCCAGATATTCTAGCCAATTTAAAGCTTCTGAATGGTTCTGATAATGTACAACCGCTCAGATTCCTTTTACTTCAACTGTCCTTAGACTGACCAATTAGCAGTACAAGCCTTGCATTCCTTTGATAAGGTAATTTTAACTACGCCACAGGGCCTTACTACTTCTAGGCTTTGCTAAATTTACTAGGCCTTACTTTATACAAGGCCTCACTACATCTTGGACTTTAATTAGGCTTTTAGCAACAACATATAGCTTAATATCTAAACAAATATAGAAAAACACTTGGTCTAATCTTCATAGGGCTTTCAGCAAGCACCTTTATTACACAAACGTAATTTCAGCTGTCACACAGGGCCACCCCAAATGGAGGAAGAGTCTGCTGCAAGGACCTCAGGACTTCGAAACCTCATGACAACAACAAGAGATGGAAAAGCAGGAGCAGCTGAAACAGTGTGTCGCAGAACAAATCAAAAATCCAGCGCCACCCACTCCATATAGAAACACACATCCATGCTGCAGTAGCGTCTGTCTATCCTGGAAAGGCCTCATCAGCCATCTTCAGACACGGATCAGACAATCATGGAAAACTATCATCCTTGACTGCAAGGGATTGCCAAAGACTGGCACACCCCAGTCAAAATCCCCAGCCTTGGCTGTTGCTGACACCCAATGTTTCTGAGGAAGATTTAAACATACCCTGACACCTGTAATAAAGGAGAGCAGGAGCAACCAGCAAAGCCCAGAAGCATTGGAAATACCCATAGTAGAAAAGAGGCATAGGTATGCCTAAATCAACCCTGACCAGTGACTGTGTCCAGCCTCTTCTTGAACACCTCCAGTGATGCAGAATCCACAACTTCCCTAGGTAATCTATTCCAATGCCTCACTATTCTAACAGTGAAGTTTTTTGGATATCCAATCTAAACCTACTTTGCTGCAACTTTCAAGCCATTAATCTGCATCCACATCTGCAGCAAGAGAAAAATGGTGCTTTACCTCTTTTTATGGTAGTCCTTTAAGTACTTGAAGACTGCTAGCATGTCCTCTTTTAAGCACCTTTTCAGCAAACTGAACATGTCCAATTCCTTCAGCCTCTCATATGACTTGCTTTCTAAGCTCTTAATTATCTTTGTTGCCTGCCTCTGGAGCCCCTTTAACTTCTCAAACTCTTTTAAAATGTGGAGCCCAAAATTGCACATAGTTCTCTACTCAGCCTAATCAGTACTGAGTAGAGAGGCACTATTGCCTCCTATTTTGCACCTAATGCTTCTGTTGATGCAGACCAAAACTGCATTCGCCTTTTGTGCAACTGCATCGCTCAGCAGAATCATATTGCATTTGTGATCTACCAAGACTCCCACGTCCTTTTCCATAGTGCTGCTATTCAGGCAAGTGTCACTCATTTTTGTATTTGTTTTTGATTATTCATCCTGAGGTGTAGCACCTTGCATTTGTCCACAATACACTTCATCCTGTTGGTTCTAGCCCAGCTTTCAGATCTGTCGAGGTCTTTCTGAATTGCACTTGCATCTTCTGTCTTCACAGTCCTTCCCAGTTTCATGTCATCTGCAAACTTGCTCAAGAAGCTTTCTATGCCAGCATCCAAATCATTTGACAGATACATTCCCAGGACAGACCCCTGTGGAATTCCACTTGAATCCTGCCATTCTGACATGGGCCTGTTAATAATTACCCTTTGCTTGCAGCTATTGAGGCAGTTATCTATCCCCCCTTATAGTAGTTTTATCCAGCCCACATTTCTCCAGTATGTTTGAAAAGGTTGTGCAGAGCTCTGTGAAAAATCTTGCTGCAGTCCAGATAAACTATATCCACAGCATTCCCTTCATCTACCCAAGTAGTTACTTAGACAAGAGGAGGAGATCAGGTTTGTTTGACACAATTTGTTTTACATAAATCCATGCCGGCTGCTTGTGATGAACCTTTCCTCTTCCAGATGCTTGTAAATAGCCTTCCTTATGATATGCTTCCAGGTATTGAGGTGAGGCTAACCAGTCTGTAGTTCCCCAGTCCTCCTTTTTCCCTTTGTTTAAAGAAGGGCACTATGTTGGCCCTTTTGCAGTCCTCTGGTACCTGGCCCATCTCCCATGACTTCATGAATATTGTTGTCAAGTTCCTGCTCTGTTTGTTATAGTGACTGAGAAAGGGAAAGTCCAGGTGGCTATAACCCTTGAAGACAGCACATCCTACTTAACAGACTTTGATTTAGCAGCTTGGAAAACTCATCTCTAAGAATACAATTTAAGGACCTCAGGACAAAATGTCTGCATGCCAGAAATGGAACTCTAAAAGCTTTATTCATCCTTCCAGAGTACAAAACAGCTAGCTGCAATGATAATTTCCTAAATGAAGCCTTACAAACTGAGGTACTATTTTTGTACCCCTGAGGGTTCCCATAACATTTTTCATAAGAACAAATGTTTGACTGCATGTGCTTGACAGTCATCTGGACATTGTACTGGCTAGCTACTTCTCTTTGTGCTAGAAAGGGCTTTATTTCAGGTTTACAGTAAATGTTTTACTCTGCTTAGGATCCTACCAAATGAAAGCATTACAGGCTTTTATTTGCTGAAGAATATCCTCTGCATAGGTGTGGAACCTTTTTATTTTTCCTGTTGCCATTCCAGTAAACACTACTACAGTGTAGAGTGCAAGGTTATAGGTTATGATGAAAGTATGTTTTTAGATTATTTTGACCCATTTTTAAGATTTGACTTCAACTGCACTGGAATTTTGCTGTCAGTCTCTATTTAGAAAATACCTACTACTTGGTTACTGGGACCTTGTTTCCAATTTATAATGTAGCCACTGGATGGCCAGCCATCAAGGTAGACGCAGTGGTATAAATGTCTAGGGCCCCCTTCAAAGGTGCAGGTAAAGCTGTGATGGACTCTAATGTGCAATCCACACATTCGCACTTCCTGCCATGACACATGTACATGACGAGCGGTGTGATTGTGAAATTGCTCATTAGATCCCATCATGCCTTACTGCTGGTGCAGGGGCAGCCCAATCCTGGGCTCCCCCTGCACCAGCATGAAGCAAGCTCCCACAGCTGGGAGCCCCCTTAGTTGAGGGGCTCATAACCACAGGAGTGCCCCATGCACTCCCAGGGCTGAGGAATCACAGCTAAATTACTAAATGAGTCAGTTTTAGTATGTCTTGATATTTTGCATGTTTCTCTGGGTGTTTACACTTGTATTGTGTTTTAGGTTACACTGTTGCAAGAATTAAACTTGGCGATTACCACTTCTATGGCTTTGGTACAGATGTTGATTATGAAACTGCATTCATTCACTACCGACTGGCATCAGAGCAACAACATAGTGCCCAAGCCATGTTTAACCTGGGGTACATGCATGAAAAAGGACTGGGTATTAAACAGGTGGGTCAGTGTGATGAGAATAGTCGTAGTCATAGTTTAGTATTAATAAGAATTTTATAATAATCTAAGAGACATTAAACAAGATTTGCCTGTGGTAGACACTACAGGCATATTTAGTAGGAGCCTACTAAGGTGCCTCAGAGCTAATAGATAACAGTAGAAGAAAAGGACGTATCTCTATTTTTTTACATTTGTGTCAAGGATTTGCTGTATATAAGGTACTACCATAACCAGTTCTCTGGGTAATTGTCTGAGCATGTAATAAAATTTGCCTGTCAAATTGAACAGTCTCAAAACTCTACCATATGTTCTTCAGAAAATGTTTTAATGAAATAGGATCGTTGGATTTTATCTGTCAAATAGACGAAACGTCTTAGGTCATAGCATAAAACTGCTTACAGTATAGAGAAGCCTTTGTTTCTCATCTGTTAGTTTAAATATTCCAACTTTTTTCTCTGTTTGGAAATAGATTTCAGTGTATCTTCTATATATTGCAGGATATACACCTTGCAAAACGCTTCTATGACATGGCAGCTGAAGCAAGCCCAGATGCACAAGTTCCTGTCTTCCTAGCACTCTGCAAGCTTGGGGTTATTTATTCCTTGCAGTATATACGAGAAATTAATGTAAGTAACACAGAGGCCTAAAGTTGATGACAAAGAATTCTTCTAAAGTGAAAGTAACATTAACTTCCCATCTCATTCTTCCAAACCAGTTTTCTTTTCTGTACCTGGTTTTGGGTGGTCCTAAGTCTCTATCTTTCCTGCCTCTGAAGTTGAAAGAAACTGTAAAATACATTGCCCCTAATCATTATTGATCCCCAACCAGTCTCTAGGGCTAGGAACAGAAGTTACACATAAACTGGTTTAAGTAATCAGAAACCAGTTTTTAAACCTGTTACGAAACAGAAGTTCAGTGCACATAAACCAGTTTTGAAGTGGTTGAAACTAGCTTAAGATGAACTTAATTGAATGTAGACTGAACTGACTTAGATAAACCAGTTTATGGAACTTCTGTCCCAGACTCCTGCCTAGTTCAAGTCAAATCACAGCCCCCCAGCATCCCAGGGTGCTTTGTAGCCCTGGGTTGCTTTAGGCAGGGCTGTGCTGTGCTGTCTGCTCAAGCAGAGCAGGGTTGGCCCTGCCCATCCGCTGTCTAGCTGGAGCAGTGAGGGCAGGCTGACGAGGGAGCTGGGGTGGGAAACCTGGCTGGGGACACAGCCTGGTCTGCCTGGTGGGGGTGGCAAAGCCCCTGCCAGACATTTCCCCGTTGAAGTGGGGTGGGGTGTGGGAGGACAGCAGGCATAGGCAGAGTGGAGGGAGGTGATTAAACCCCCCCACCTCCCCTCTCCCACCGACATTGGACCCCAGCTGGTACCATGGGACCCCCACGGTGGGGTCCTGTGCCAGTGGGAGAGGGGAGGCAGGGGGGCTTTAATCTTCCTCCTGCCCCTCTGCCTGAGCCTGAGGCGCTGACCGGGCCTCTAGGCTTGGGGACAAACGTTGCAAAGGCTACTTCCCCCTTCCCAGTCTAGGCACACCCCAGCTGGAATCCCTGCAGGCCAGGGTTGGGGTTTAAACCCCTCCCCAGTCATACTCAGTGGCCTGCCAGGGCCTGGTCACACTGCCCCTCCTCCCCAGTTCAGCTTCCCTCCAGCCTGCGGAAGGGAAGGGGGTGCTTGCTCTAGCACCCCCCCAGCATCTACCCTGAGCCACTGCAGGCATGTGGCCACATTTCTAGATTCAAAAGTGAATGTCTATTCACTTGCTTCTCGGTTCAATCTGCACGGGTTAGACTAACCTGCAAAGATTGAATCAATTCAAGCTTGGGCTTTTTGAATGTCTGTACTTAGCCTAGAAACTGTCTGAATACTCCTTTCAGGAAAAAAATCCCTACCCAAGACTAGACATTTTTGTATGTGAGCAAGTATCACCAGAGTTAAGTATTTCCAATTTATATTTGACTATTTAATACTTTAACATCCACCCCAAGTCCAGTCTGATATCAGAGCTGTAATAGGAGCTAAGAGTACAGGTACTTGGTTGCTCTTGGCAGAGATTCAACATAGTGATAGGCCTTTAAACAAATGTCTGTCCTAGGTGCTTACTTATCCAGTATCTCCATAGCTTGACTGTTATAAAAATTAATAGCATCCTCAACAGTATAAGAAGTACTTAAAATAGGCAAAGTGAGGAGAAAAGATTATGTCTGCTTTAGATATTGGGATCTGGAACATTCATAGAACCTAGATCCACAAAAAGCATTTACATGGCATTTGGAGTCTGTGTCCAAGACTATCATCCATAAACCTCCTGATTAAACAGTTAAGCACCTGAGGGCATTTTTACACATGTAAGTGCTGCAGCACCAGGTGCTTTGAAAAATGCCTGGCACTGCAGTGCTTACAATTGTATAAATAGCAAAATGTGCATCAGTGCTGAGACAATGGCAGTGGTGCACTTTTGAACTAAATCACATAGAAGGTGCTTTAGTTCAAAAGCACACTGCTACCATTTTCTGTGCACTGATGCGTATTTTGCCGCTTATACAACTGGACTCAGTGCAGTGCAGTTCACATGAGGAGCAGACTCTATTAATCAAGTCTGCTCCAAAGCGGCAGACCACCAGCGTGTCGCAGGACAAAAAAGTATGTGTATAAATTAGACTTTGCAGGCTTTCACCAGTAAAGTTTCCTAGGCACCTTAAGTTCCACAGTGCCTGCACGCAGAGGCTCAGCCACATTGGCAGAGTTCAGCAGCATTGTGCCCATCCCATACCTTAGTCCAGGGGTGGGCAATTTTTTCGGGCGGAGGGCCACTTACTGAGTTTTGGCAAGCCATCAAGGGCCGCATGACAGGCAGCCAGGGGCAGATAAATATTAATTTTCTAAATTTTTTAGGGGCCCCGCAGGCCAGATAGAGTGGCCTGGCGGGCCGCATATTGCCCACCCCTGCCTTAGTCTGTTGTGGAATTCACAAATAGGCACCCCTTCAACCCAAATAACTAACACAGTTACAGAGCTAATTTAACTGTCATCATGGCTGCTTTCATTCAAAAACAGCCTTAGGGTTTGCCCATTGGTACCCACTTAAACGAGAGCTTAATGATCAGAGCAGCTACCGAGGAAGTGAGAGACTTGGGTTTTAACTCCTCAGCTTGTAAGAGTTCAGACCCACATTTTTTTTTAAGATATTGCCAGGCTAGAGGCAAGACTGGATTGGGGCATTTTCTGTGCTTCCTGTTGTTGAAGTTGAGCCCATGTGTAGAAAATAACACCAGATTTCTGGAAACAGAAAAAAAAAAAAGTAAAATGCTTCCAATTACTTGCTTTAGCAAGTGTTGAAGGCAGTCACCTGAAGGGGATCAGGAATTGGAATCCAGGACACTAGCTTGCATCCCTAAGAACTTGCCTCTGGGCTACAGTGCAAGATGAGCAGAATTTAAGCACATCCCTCTCTCCCCAGCATTTTCTGTTGGCTAATTTAGGTGGCCCCTTCTGTACCCAAAAATGCATACTAGCTGCTGTGAATCCCACTCCAAGGCACCAGAATCTATCCTTGCATTGTATAGGGAACTTAGAAAGCAAACCAGAGTTTGTAAATTCTACTTTGAAAACTGGGTACTTCAGAGTTAGGCATAGACATAATCAGCATGATCCCAGGTAAGTGATATCTCCTTTGCGGATCTGAGCTAAAATGACTTGAGCAAAGTCAAATGGGAAGGCTAGAGCAGAGTAGGGAAATGAGTGAACATTTCCCAAGAGCATGCTCAGTGCCTTAACCATAACATTTACCCTTCTTCCCTAATTTTCCACTTCTATTTTTATTTCTGTACTTATGTCCTGGGACACTAGGCAGCTTGCAAGCAATAAAATATAAATTTTCAGTCTTTTATCAGGAAGTAAGTGAAACCTGTGAACTGCTGCAAAGGTATACCTATGTAGGCAGTTTGTTCTGTAGAGCTTGTAGCTATTTGAATTAGGCTGGATTTCAGTTCTTCTAGAACTGCAAAAGCTTGTTCTTATGCTTAAAAAATTGCTTAAAAAACAAAACAAAAAAACAAGTTTTCCCCAAATTTAGAGGTGTATTACGGTTTCAGTCATTTCTCATACTTTAAGTCGAAAGAACATAATGGTTTGGGGGTTTTGTTTTTAGATCAGAGAGATATTTTCACATGTTGACATGGATCAGCTGCTGGGACCAGAATGGGACCTTTATCTTATGACTATCATCGCTTTGCTTCTGGGAACAGTTATAGCTTACAGACAGAGGCAACATCAAGCAATCCCAAGGCCAGCAGGGCTGCGACAAGCTGTGCCTCAACAAGAACCTCCACCAGAACACCAGCCCCCACAATAGCAACAGGAGCCTCAATGAAAAGAACTGGATTCTCCAGCAAACTGTTTTCATTGTGATTTAGACATCAGCTCAATGGTCCCTTCCCCCAGAGTGGTGTGAAGAAGCATAAAAATCTGAAAGCTGCTTAAGATGATGCCTTTTTTCAGGGATAAGAAACTTTTTTTTTCCAAGACTGATTTGAATGTTGTTTCAGTGCCAGTGGAATAACACAATGGCTTTTTTGTGAAACACAGTTGTGCAACTACAGAAGTGATGCCTGCTGTATCCAGTTTCTCTTTATTTAAAGTCCTTTTTCAATATCTTCTAAAGTATGCTGAAGACCTGGTCTGGGAGGATTGTGCATGTTTTCCAATAGGAGCTGGCCTGTGTAGAAAGAAAAATATTAACCCAAACTTAAGTTTGAAACAGGTGAACTCTCTTGCCCTTTTAAGTAAAAAAAAATAAAAATAAAAATAAAAAAGGGGAGAGAGAGAAAAAAGTAGCTCTAGAGCTACAATGATAATTTATTTTCCTGATCTGCATCCCAAGTATTTTACAGCCTGTGTTTTCATCATTTCTTAGTAGTAGTTTTCACACTTCATAATCTCTTAATCAATTTTGGATGGTTTAACCTGGATTCTGCATTCAGAAGAAACAGATAAAAGCAGAAAACAGATCTACAAATGTTGGGTGAACTTACCTCTGACTTTCCTTAGAGCCTACATTTTTCCTAATGGTCAGTATATAGCACAGAGGGTGGATAGGGTAGATTGCAGATGTAAAATAAAAGTGTGACTTAACATTCTATGCAAGATCCAAAATTCAGACTTTTTTTTAGAAAGTTTGCATATTTTCTTAGAACCTGTGGGTGATGTGACATTTCTGGACATGAGCAAAGGACACCTTTTTAATTTTGCCAATAGTCAGCAGAGGGGCTAACTTATAGAATGCAGCAAGAAACAGTATTAGAGAGGACACCGAAGGAGGGACAAAGCCATAAGTCTTCTCACTGAGTTATATAGCTAGATTATAGTTTATCCAGTTTTTCTTTAAGTAAAGGGTGGGGCTGTTGCTTTTATCTTGTTTCCCAGTGTCAGTGTTCCCAAAAGCAAACAAAAGAAATGACCTGTATCGTACAAGTCATGAATTAAATCTACATATGTCACTACACATTGGACGGGCAGATTCTTTGGTGTATCTGTCTACTTGTACAGCTGGGCAAGGAATCAAACTGCAGCTCATACTACTGGAGCTGGATTTATGCCAGTGCTGCAGCTGCTTAGTCAGGGTAGTGTACAAGAATCACAGTGCTCTGGCAGCCCTGCCCTAACCTGCAGTGATGTCACCAGATGTCCATAATGACATTATAGTTATGCTACCATAAGCACTCTCTCTCAATGAGACAATCCAGGGGGTGGGAATGGGAGGTGTCATGGTTTATTTCTCCTTGATGTTACAAGAGCAGAGAGTGCAAAGTGACCATGTGGGGAGAGTGAATCCAATCTCTGGACTCTTGTTTTTACTTTACAAGATAATTCTTGATGGAAATTAAATACACAGAGTAAATGCAGGAGTATAGTTTTTGTCTCAATGGCAAATCAACGTATTTTCTATTGTACCACTACACCCTGAATATACACAATGTTTGCAACAGAATGAAATCTGAAGTGGAAGTCTGACACTTCCTGTAGATCACACATTATTTGGGTGTTAACTGCATCCTTTATACAAAGGTGTAGGTTGTTGTTCATCAGCCTCCTGGATACGAAAAAAATCATGGACTAAATATAGACATTGGATTTATGACACATTATAACCTGCCTGACATCTGACTCCCCAGGTATCTCTCCACTTTCATCCCCCTTCTTTCTCTTCCCCCCCCGCCCCAGCCTCTCTCTCACCCACTGACTTCTCAATCTATATTTTCACTGACTGCCTGTTTTGTATGCAGACCAGCCCAGCCTCTGGCTTCTTTACTTTTCATTCCATCCAGGAAGAGCACACACCAACTGCTGAAACTTCCGTAGCCTGGCAAAGGGTTTTTTAACCAGAAAGCTTGCTTAATAACTGTTTTCCAACTATTTAAGTTGGTCTAATAAAAGATATCGGATTCACCCAAAGAACCTTGTCTCCTTTATACAAGTGATTTTTCAGTGGATTGGCACCAGCCTGTAACAAACAGCTTCAAAACTGTGAGATTCTGTATATTTTTGTACTTAATGTATTATATTGAGATGATTTGAGGAAGGTCTTATTGCAGTTTGGGAGAAGGGCTAAAAAAAATCCCTTTTCAGAAGCTGAAATTGTATGGCTGGCTGTAGTATTATTGAGTGCAACAAAAACTTCTAAATTCTTCTGAGAGCTTATCTTCAAAATGCAGTTACTGAATACATGGAATCAGAATCTTTATATCTGGTTCTGAAAGAATTTACATTATTTAGAGGAGGGAAATCTTGTTTCAACTCTAATATGAGAGGAAACAGTATTAAACTTATGTATTGTGCACGGCTAAATGTATAGCAATCCTTAACTGCATTATTTTTCTCTTAAAATGTCATTGACATTCTTAAGCTTTTTCCCCTGCTGCATTTTACGTCTTTCATTTTTTAGGGTTGTTATAATGATAGTCCAGGAGATATGTAAAGGGCAAGAATTCTTGTGTGTGGAATTTATTTAATGGACCAACTATATGGTTGGTATAGACATAGGGAAGTTTTGGGGGATCATAGTACCCTTCCTTAGGCCTAAGGTAAGGTACTGCGATACCTGAAAGCTTGCTTATGTCTATACCAACCATGTAGTTGGGTCAGTAAAAAGAGATCACCACCAAGAATTCTTGCTTCTTATTTTCTAGATCACTTTAGTTCAGCATAAAGACATAAAAAGCTACCAGGAAAATGGTTCCAATTAACCATTGCTAAATACGGACTTTCCAATTTAACAACTACTAAATTTGTATTAAATGCCTGTATTTTAGGTTTTGGAACAATTCTACCATTTTTGCTATATTTTACTTTAAGTTTGAATTTTTTGCATGTTTGAATAATTTTTGATGGCTAAGCTGTATGTTTTGGGGAATTTATCCCCACCAAATGGTTTAGCAGTGCTCTTTTATAGATGGCTTTGCACAGAATGGAAACATTTCACAAGAAATCAGTGAAAGAAAATGAGCAAACATTGCTTGAACTCTTCGTTTTAAAGAACTGCCTTTTCAGAAATATAAAAAAGTAATATGGAAAACTTCTTCCCATTAATGTAGAACAAAACAATCTGTTCTTTTGGCAATAAAGTAATAGTAATAGAGATAATTTAACATAAATAACATCAAATTAACTCAAGAATTAAAGAAATAAAGTACATTTTTCTAGATCAGTTTCCAGAATGTTTCAGGTTTTTTTCTGATACATCCTTGTTCTCTTCCAGAATTTGCAGTGTAGTTTTTCCCTCTTAAATAACATCAGTACTGGCAATAGTGAGTACTTGCATGTTGTGCATAATTTACCAACCAACTCTCCCAGTTTCCTTACAGAACTGGGAGTTGCTTTTTAACTTTTCTACTAGGATTTGTTTTTATAGAACATCTTTAGTGGTGCATCTTGTCTCTGTATGTGCATCAACGATTTAAAAGTGGGGTTAGACTTGAAACAAATTATTCAGAATTTTTAGTGATATTGAATTTTTATTCAGATAGTTTTTCTGATTCAGTGAAGTTTTATATTGCTGAAGTTGAGTCTGCACTGGCCTTTTTGAAAGGCTAAAGTGGGAGTTCCAATTTGAAAATTCAAACAGGAAACTTTGGTAATGTCATTCAGAAATAAGTAGCAACCCACAGTTGTACTGACACTATACATGCTGCTCAACTTAGTTTTCCCCAGCTTTCTTGTCCCTCATTCTTTATTCTGGAAATTTTGAAGTTTCTGAATGTGAGCAATTTATACCCCCACCTGCAGTATTTTAGGGTAAAATTCACATCTTCAAACCTTCCCATTCTCTACTTTGCATTTGGAGAGCAGAATGACTAAACATCTTATGGCTGTCAATGGAAGTTCAAATATGGAAAGACGAGAGAAAAATGAAGCTGAAGGTCTGAGGGGAATTTTTTTGTTTTAGAAATCACTAATCCAATGAATGTATAAACCTTTGTTTTTTGTAATTTAAAAAGATAACACTTTACAGAATCCTGAACTCTCAAGTTGATATTCTGCCTTCTCCCAGTAAGGTTTTTCCCAAAATGTACTTACATCAGTTGTTTCACCCAATAACTAATGGTTTAAAGTGAGGAGTAAAGTAGTAGAAGGAACGAGCTTTCATATAAATGCCCTTTATTGAGACTTTAAAAATACAGAAACTGAAAGTGAAAATAGTGTGGCCTTTAAAAAAGTTTTCCCTGAGACATCAGTTGCTCTGTTGATAAACTCACAAAAGTAGAATATATCAAATGCATGTCCTGTTTCATCATGAAAAGTACATGCAAGTGTGTGTTGTAAGAGGATTTAAAAATATGTACCAATACTTTTTCCACAAACCATACAAGTTAGCTTTAACACATGAAGAGGCTGTTACAGGGAAAGAAGCTCATGTTCACCAATTGCTTCTATTTCAGATGAACCATAAGCTGAAATTATATTTGTTTTCAAATATATTTGAAATTATTTGTTTTTTAACAATGCACAAACAAGAAAGTTTAATATGATTTTGAGAATTACTATAAAAGCATAAGCAGGCAGGGGCTGTTGGGGGAAGCCCATTTTGATTTTTATCAGCTGCAGTTAAAGGGTATTGTAGGAATTTTTGTAAATTTATTTTGTATTTAAGGAAATTCAATATAAAGGCTGGCAAAGTGTAATATAATTGTGTAAACAAATCCTGTTAATAGAAAGATGTACAGATTCATTTTGTACTGTATCTTTAATCTTGTGAAATAAAGACACCACCTCTATGGTTAAAAAATTTTAATTTTCTAATTTTGATTAATAAATATTTGAGGGATAATCTATTGGAGGAGAGATAAATAAAGTGATTCTTCACTTAATCAAATAGCTCATTTTTTTATTACAGGAAAAATGAGACTGTGGTCAGTGGTAAGTCTGCATTCTGCAGTAAGATACTATGATTCTGGTCAGACAAGGATACTTGAAAACTGTATATTCCTATTTCTTTGGGAAGACCTGCAGTGGCTGTGAAATGGTTAACAGTCTAACACTGACCCTGAAGAGCAGACTCTACCCCTTCACTCCTTGAGGCTGGCATGGGGGAAACATGACAGCCATTTTACAATATCCCCATGCTTGCACTCCAACATAGAAAATCAGCTTCCCTGCTTAAGACATGCACCCCAATTTTGAAGGGCTGATGGGGGTGGAGGAGGGGGTGCATGTGGTGTGCAAGTAAATATGATATATGGGCCAATAATTTGTCTCCCAATATAATAGTAAAATATTCTATCCATTTCCTTAATGTGGGGTGGAAAACACCTCTGAGCTATTTGTCATGCAGACCTCTTTCACACTGAATGGACTGTGCATGCTAGGGTTTTCCAGAAATGCAAATTCTTATTGAAATTTTAATTTTCTAATTTGTATTAATAAATGAGGGATAATCTGTTTCAGGAGAGTGAAGAAGAGATGGATAAAGTGAGGCTTTACTTTTTCAAGTAGCTAATTTTTTATTACAGGAAATAAAATGACTGTGGGCAGTGGTGAGTTGCATTCTGCAATGGGAGAAAAGAGCCTCAGAAAGCCATCTGTTCTGTCAGTGAGTGATGGTGGACACTGCAGCTATTCTTCTGACTGGTGGTGCATTTTGTCTTGTGGCTAAAGACTAAGACTTGCAGGTCCTGCCATAGTGGTCACAGGTCTACATGGCATTTGGGGCTACTGACAGGCTGTTTCCTTCTGTCATGTTTCTGTTGTAATTCAAGTGACCATTTCTTGTCATGATGTTGGACTCCATGATTGAGAAGGGAGCGCTACTTTGTCCTATCTCCAGCTAAGGCCTCCAAGAGATTTGGGTCAATTCTAAAAGCCTTCATATCCTGCTTGCAGACTTCTTTGAAGCGCAGTTTCTGGCACCATACTCTTCTCTCTCCCCACCTGTAATTTGCCCATACAGGATGTCATTTGGGATGTGCCCATTTTCCATCCATGGTTCATAGGTTGGCTTTGGCGATGACTTCCATGTCGGTGATCCTGTCTTGCCACTTGATGTCAAGGATGCACCGTAAACAGTATAGGTGGAAGCTGCTCAGCTTCTTTTCTTGATATGCATATGTTGACTACATCTCACTGCCATATATAAGGACACTGAGGATGCAGACTTTGTACACAAGCAACTTTGTTTTGATTGTGACCTTTGTGTTGTTCCAGACTCGTTTGGAGAGCTTATTGAAAGTGGTAGCTGCCTTTCCAATGCACACATTTGATTCTTCATCCAACAATAGGTTGTCGCTCACTGTGGATCCAAGGCAGGAACAATTGTTCATTGCTTTGAGAAGTGTGTTGTCAAGGTTGCTAGATGATGATGGGTGAATGCCCTGTCCTAGGACCATAGTCTTCTTGATACTGGTAGTCAGGGCAAACATCCTACAAGCAAGGGAGAGGTTATTCATGAGTATTTGTAGTTGGCCACCTTTATGGGTGGTGAGTACAGCATCATCAGCAAAAAAGAGCTTCCTTATAAGTATGCGCCTCACTTTTTGTTTTGGCCTTTATACATGATAGATTGTAAAGTTTGCCATCTGACGTTGTGTGAAGGTATATACCTTCCTCCAAGCCATCAAAAGCATAGTGCAGCAGCATAGAAAAGAAGATCCCATAGGGCATCTATACATGTGACAGCTCGGCTCTGAGGCATGCTAATTAGCACAAGTTAGAGCAGACTCAATTAATTACTAGTGACATGGAGGCTGCACTCCAGCAGCCTCCATGTCACATGTATTCAGCTTCCCCAAATTTCAAAATGGCAGCAGGGCGCTTTAACTAAAACTCATCAAACAATTCCTTGAATCCCTTGAATTCTTTAGGTAAAGCGCCCCCACTGCCATTTTGAAGCATGGGACACTGAATATACATGATGCTGCAAGCGCTTTAATTAGAGCAGCTCTAAAAGCTGATAACTCTTAATAATTAAGATTCTATATGCGACATTTTAAACGTTTTTAAATTGTCTATGTTTAGAATTTAATTATTGGAGGGTTGTCTTCAGTTTGGAGTCATCTTGGATTCGGGTCAAAACAGAAATTTTCTTCTTTGGGTCTCTGATATAAGGGAAATGACAGAAAGGGCACTTAAATAGGTTTGCTAGAGTTTGCTTATTGGGATTTGAACAGAAAAGCAGTATAACTTCCATGGGCTCCACAATGAAGTGTACAATGAGCTAACCAGTTACCAAATGGATTTAAGTAGAAGGCAGAATGCTTTTTCTCCAAATCAAATGTTAAATGAAGCATTTAGTATTTAAATGAGAGACAGACACACATGTCATTAGGATCCAATTCTATCCTGCTTCCTGGAAATAGGATCCAGGTAAAGGTTAGGAAAAGATAAATGTATTTCCTTCAAGCTGCCTATTCCCTGAATAGTGGGAGCATCTGAAGGAGGAAGAGTGCTGTGATGTGTTCAAGGGTTTAGGTTGTAGCTGTGTTGGTCTAAGGACATAGGCAGACAAGGTTCCTTGGGTGAATTTGATATCTTTTATTAGACCAACCCAAATAGTTGGAGAATATTTATTAAGCAAGCTTTCGGGTTCAAAAACCCTTCGTCAGGCTAAGGAAGTTTCAGCAGTTGGTGTGTGCTCTTCACACCAACTGCTGAAACTTCCTTAGCCTGACGAAGGGTTTTTGAACCCGAAAGCTTGCTTAATAAATATTCTCCAACTATTTGGGTTGGTCTAATAAAAGATATCAAATTCACCCAAGGAACCTTGTCTGATGTGTTCAAGGTGTTAGTACTCAGAAGACAATAATTCCACTTTTTGAGTGCAGTGGAGGCAACAGTAATTGAACAGAGATCTGAACTTAGGAGTCAGACCACAGTACCTGAGCTGGGGGCTTCCTCCTTAGGATCTTGTTGCCATGCAACTTACTAAATACCAACTGCTTTTATCATACGACTGGGCAGTACACATTGAGGGTTATAAGCTGTACAGAAAGGACAGGGTGGGGAAGAGAGGGGGCGGGGTGGCGCTCTATGTCAATGAGCGATATACTTCGACCCTTATCAAAACGGAATCGGAGGAGAAAGTAGAAGGATTGTGGGTTAGGTTACATGGAGGTCAAGGAGAAAGTGATTTGGTGGTAGGGGTCTGCTACAGACCCCCACACCCAGGGGAAGAACTAGATTTGGGGCTCCTGAGGCAGCTCTCGGAGACCATAAAAACTAGGGAAGCGGTAGTCATGGGGGACCTAAACTACCCAGACATCTGCTGGGAGATGCAGACAGCAAAGTCCCACCGTTCATGCAGGTTCCTATCCTGTGTACAGGACCTCCATCTGATGCAGGAGGTACATGGTCCCACTAGGGGGAATGCCTTACTGGACCTGGTATTGGCAACGGGGGATGACATGGTAGGAGACCTACAGATCGGTGGTCACCTGGGGGACAGTGATCACCAAATAATAGAATTCACCATAAGACGTCAAGTGGGTAAGGTAACTAGTAGGGTGAAAGTGCTACACTTTAGGAAAGCTGATTTCAATGAACTCAGGTGTTTAGTCAAGAACGCACTGCAGAATAAAAGTTTTAAAGAGATGGGAGCCCAGGAAGGGTGGCTGTGCCTTTAGGAAATGATCCTTCGGG